CCATCACATTGCAAATTTCTGCCAAAACATTAAAATACCAACCACTTATTTGGGGAGGCCATATACCAACAGGCATGCCAAATCCCATTCTCTCACCACTCATGTGTGACCTTGGACAAAGAGCTTAACCTGAGTCTTAGTTTTTTAATCTACAAAATGGAAATATTACTACCTGCATCCTAAGGCCACTGTAAGGACCAAATGTGATGAAATGTAAAACATCTAGTTCATTGCTCTGTAAATGGAAATTACAGTTTTCTTCACCCAGTCATTCCCAGAAAAACCTTCTTGCATGAAACTATCCACTACGGTTCACTAATTGTTTCTCCTTTTGGAAGCTCTCAGAGCCTCAGGTCCCCACATTTAATTGTAGCAAATGTATAAACTCATATATAACTTCTAATCTTTTCTTCAAGAATCAATCTATTCAACCCATTCCTTCTTCTCCTGCAATGTCAGTTTTTCAATATCACCAATATTTACAGATACATAGCTTGTCCACTTTAAAATAGGAGGACTTCTCCAGCTATGTGATTAAGTAACACTTCTCTATTCCGGAACATTAAATAAGTTGGTCAGGAAATGAAGGTACTACTCCCTCTGCAACTCTGCCTTGCAATTTCCCATTGTGTTTTCAGGTTTCCTCAGCACCTTGACCATGTACTAATACCCAGCTTATATGCCTTTGAGAGGAGAGCATTTTTTTTTTTTACAACTTCCCAAGTTGACTCATTAGACCTTGTACTTGTAACCTGGGTACTACAGCCTGGGTCTTTTGCATCATGTCACACTGCCTCAAACATTTCTCCTTCCAAGCTTGGCCATTCTCATTTATGGCATTAAAGGCACAAGAGAGGACCACTGTAATAAGCTAGAGTGCTAAGCACACAGATGAGACCAAAGGGAGAGAGCACAGCTGGAAACTGGTTGCTCAGGTTTCAGGGGAAAGTTCTCTCCAGGTTAGGTCAAGTTTCAGGCAATTTTGCCACCAAAGTCTTTGAAAAGTCACAAAAGTCATAAACATCCCTATCGTAACTACCCAACAACAGGTTGTAGTAGTACTGGTGTTCTATCTCCCATCTGCTGTTATTTCATCTGGACAGGGAATTATCAGTTATTCAGTTCACTTGATTTATTGAGTGGCATGTATCAGGCTTTATACTAGGTGTCTGTTAAAAAAATTCACCAAGTAAATTTAAGGATCTAGTTGGCTTTATTCTACAATTTATGAACTGGGTAGTATCCCATCTGGCAAGTGGAAAAGAGCTCGGAGGAGCTGTACAAATGAAGGGCTTTATAGGCAGAAATGGGGCGAGACAAGGAGGTTATTAGCAAAAGAAAGAATTATTTAGACAATACCTTTACTTTCCTTACAGAAAGGCTGAGGGTCTTTGATTACCTCACTAGGGCTGACCAGGATATTCTAGAGTGGTTTAAAATTTCACTTTGGAATGGCTGAAACTGCCGGAAGTCTTGGTTTGCTATCCTGGGGGCAACTATCCTGGGGGCAAGTAGTTGATTCCACCTTGGACCTGTTATTTCGTTCTTTTTTTTTTTTTTAAACATGTCATATACGTTTCTCATTTTCACAACGCATCTGTACTTAAACAATAAGTAGCTGGAGAACTGAGAGGTTAAGAAACTTTCCCAAGGTCACAGAGCCTTTTTAAGTGGCAGGGCGGGAAAGGGAACCTGGCCTGTCTGACTGCTAGGTTGGCATTCTTGCCTTTTGCAATGTTAAGTATCTTCAAAACACCAGTCCCATCTTTTTATCACTCACAATGAATGCCAAGCAGGTGAGCCCTTAATTCCTGCCTACCTTCTCAAAAGCTCAAAAGACAAGATTTAAAACGTCCTTTATTATTCCATTCATACAAGATGAGGTTCCACAACCAGCATGGCGTGATTATGGGTCATGCCCATCTTTCAATTTTGTTTTGGTTGTATTCATAAAGTAGACATTTCTCACACATCCTTTTCTCAACTGAGCGACTACTTTGTTTCCTTTCCCGACACCAGGAAAGAGACGCAGCGCCTTCCCGCTCCCCTGGAACCACCTGATCCTCCAGCACCTCCATTCCGGCTGCCCAAACCACCTATGACCCTCGGCGGCAGTGGACAGGCCAGGGAGAGGACCACCCTCGGTCTCGGGGAGGTGGCACCGCGCGGGGCGCTGCTGGCGTCGGGCGCTCCCGTTCCACGTGGCGGAGGCGGGGGGTTGCGATCTCGGCGGGAGCCCGACGGCGGCAGGCCGGGTCCGCGCGGCGGGGAAGGACGGCGGTGCGGGGTGCCGCGGGGCTGCCCCTTGTCCGGGAACCCCCCGCGCGTCTCGCACCGGCAGGCAGGTGAGCCCTTCCCGCCCCAGCCGTCGCTGTCGCCCCAGAGACGACTCGGCCCGCCGCCCGGTCCCCCCTCAGTGCGGGGTCCCGCCAGTGTTGGCGCCAGGGCCTACCTTGCTGGTCAGGTCCAGCTCTGGCTCGCCGTTGAGCGCCTCGCCGTCCTCGCTGCAGTCCGAGTCGAAGCCGCCGTGGAGCCGGGCGGCAGCCGCCGCAGCCCTGGCCGCCCCCGGAGAGCTGGGCTCGGGGGCGAACATAGAGGCCGGGACCGGGGGGTCCATCGGGGAGCGACTCGGCTCCGCCGCCATCTTTAATAACTTAAGCTAATTCGTAGCCGACCTCCCCTCCCTCCTTGGCTCATTTGCCTAATCTATGCCGGGCACCGCCCCGCCCCTTATCAGTTAATTTATGCGAAACTCCTCCAGCCGCCTAGAGGGTGAAACGTCTCTAGCTAAGAAACAATCCGCCAGCCTCTCAGCCACCAGTCGCTGCAGCCCTTTCAAGTACCTAATGAATAATGAGGCCCAAACCCCAACAATAAATGTCTCAGACGTCACGAGTCTTGATCACAGCTCGGGAGGGGGCAGCACTATGTCTACGCTAGCTGCCTGGAGCCTTTCTGCCAACGGGAGCAGCGCACACTATGACTGACATAGCAGCTGTCCAATAGCAGGGAAATACACGCACATTCCCTCACCGCCTCTCACTCCCCCGGTTTCCAGGGGCTGTACTCAGTTTGCAAATCACACAGCAAAACAGTAGGCGCGTAGCCTTCTGATGATGGACAGGGGCAAGGCCCAATCTAGTCACCGGATAGGTCCCGCGCCTACTGCCACCGCCCACCCAGATAGTAAACTGCACAAGCCGGCTCCCTCTTTAACTCCGAGCGGTCCCTGAGGATCGTGGTCAGACCTGGCAACCTCCAGGCAATTTTAATAGTAGGATCGATGCCTGGAATATTATACCAGTCAGTGAAGTAATTAATTAAACGCTGACCTTAAGGTGAATTCTCCATTCACTGGCTCTGAAGAGAGAGCAAATACAGGACCCAAAAAGGTCAACCATCTAAACAGAAGCCAAAAGCACCACAGTGCTTGTGATCTGTGAAGCCAAGATCTAGGGTCTGTTAAGGTAGTTTCCTATGGAGAGTCTTCCACAGTGTCATCAGCTTTGGAAAACTCAATCGAAAATACCATCAGCACAAATTTTAGTGTCTTTTCCTGTTTCGAAAGTCTGAAAAGTTTGATGAAACTGAGAGTAGTAATATTGCTGGTCTTGGCCATTCGTCCCAAGCAGCAAGCAAGATCGAGCAGCCATTTGAGAAGGTAACACACCCAAGATGTAGGGTTTGGAGGCCAGGATTTAGTGAACAAGAGGCAGGGTTCAGACTGGCCTTTACTTTCAGAGATCTATCTGAAAGAGGCAACGTCCTGTTCCTGTAAACTACCATCAAGTCTTTTGTGTATAAACACGTGGAACACTGGGACAAGAGCTCATCCAACTCCAAAAGTCTTTATAATAGTTCTTCAAATGCATTTTGTTCTTTTATCCTAGCTAAATTGTTCACCACTATCCTATGAGGTGGTTAAAATTTTCAGATCTTCGTTGGCTGAAAAGCCAAGTATCAAGACATTGTATTCTAGAATAATTTATATTTAGCATTTTAGCAACTGGCTCTTCCAAGAAAGAGTTCAAGTACAGAGTATGCCCCTGACGGTAGAGTGGAAAACATGCCCTTCTCACCATAGGGCTTTGCTCAGAGAAAATATCCTTAGAGTAGGGACTTCCTGAATTTAACAGAGAAGTCTAAAATCCTATTTTAGAGAATTCCCTACTCATCTTTACACTCTTTCTGAAGACAGGTTAGATCCTAGGTTCAAATCCTGGGTCTATACTTACTAGTTATGTGACTTCAAAAACAAGTTAGTTGAGCTTCAGTACCTACCTCACAGGATAGTTAGCAAATTAGTTAATATACCTAAAGCACTTTGAACAGTGCTTGCAGGCCTCCATTAACTAGTCTTTTGCAAACGTAATTGTAACCCTTAGGAGGCTAATAAATTACAAAAACTTAAGATATTTCAAAAGCTGTCTGGATTAGGGCAAGGGCTCACAACCATGTGGTAGGCACTCAGGCATGTGTTAAATGGTAACTACGTTGAGTGTAATGGTGTTGCTTGTTGAAGCAGTTAAAAGAAATGACTGAATTAGGTGATCTCTTCTATTATTTTTCCAATTAACAAAAACCCAAAGGCAGCTAAGGTGGATAATGAGTATTTGCTGGTGCCTTCCACATGCCCTACGGGTAAATAAGGGAAAAAAAACCCACGCAGGACTGAGTTTACTTTCCTGACAAACACAAAGAGCTTACAGAAAACCCAGAGAGCAAAGTTCTGTGGCAGGCACAGTGAGACCAGGGTGGAGTCCGAGGGAGAGGACCGAAATCCGACACCCAGAAACTGAAATAGGTCTCTCCAAAGTACCCCAGGAGAGGCGCCTATCCTCAGAGTGCTCAGGAAAGTAAGGGGCGGTCGGGCCTACTAACCAAGAGAATTTGCGCCCAACCGCATCAGTAAGGTGCTTTGAAATCACCCGGTGAACAGTGCGCTAGACAAACAAAACGGTCAACACAGGAGTATATTTAATTCAGGATCTCGAAAGCACTCAGCTGGAGAAGCCCAGCGCAGAGAGAAGGGAGGGGTAGGGAGGTTCGCGAAGTGCAGCCGCAGGCGGGTCGCCGCCCCGGAACCGGCCGACACCCGGGAAAAGGTGGCCGTCGAGGCGGGACTCCCGCCGGTCGCCCCGCCCGGCTCGGCCAGGGGAGGAGCAAAGCAGAAGAGGCGGGCACCAGCTCTGCCAGCCGCAGCAGCCGCTGCCGCCGGGCTCCGCCACCCTACACCAGGCGGCCCGCTGGACCTCGCACGCCCTAAGCCGCTCGACACTGCACCAACCGTTCCAACCGACGCGCGGCAGCGCCAGCGTCGTCAAAGCCAGAGCCGCTGACGTCAGACGTGACGCCGGCGCAGGGCGGGAGCGGGACCGCTGGAGGGCGTTTCCGGAGCACGCGCCGGCGAGGGCCGCTGACGTTGGGCTCAGGTGCGCGCGCTTACCTGCCAGCCCGCCCGCCCGCGCGCGGCCCAGGTGTCGGCCCGCAGCTCCAGGTGGGGGCCTGCTGCGGTGAGGGGCTGCCGGCGCTCGGCGTCTGGGCCGGGCGGGGCCGGGGCCGGAGGAGCGGCGGGAGGGCGCTTCGGCTTGCCCTCACGTGACGGGCGGGGAGGTTGGGGTGGGGGCGGTGAGCCGGGTGGGCCGCGGACCCCGAGAGCGAGACAGTTATCCGACCCCACTCCGGGCAGGCCTTCCCGTCGCGTCCCAGGACCCTCCCCGGGTTCCTGCCGGCGCCGCTGCGCCCCTTCCCCGGCCAGTGTGGCCCTCCGCGGCGGCCCGCCCGACCGCCGGACCTGACCGGAGTTGTCTTCTCCGCAGGGGCGCGGCCACAGGGTGAGAGTTCGCGCTTTCCAAGGGAGCCACGACGCCTCGGCCCGCGCCCTGCGGAGCCCCACCTCGCTGGAGGGGATGGAGAGCCGCCCCCCGGGCCCCAGCGCGGCCCGCGACCCCACGCTGGCCGGCCCTCGCTAGCTGCTCGAATTCTGCGTTTTATCCACCGCCTAGGCCTTGTCTCTTGAATCAGTGCCGTTGTGGTTCAAAGGAAATGGAAGAAAAGGAGCGATGTGACCGATTCCGTTCGGTCACCCTGCCTTGAGGCCTGGTGGGCATTTGCGGAGAGGAAAATAGAGGAAGACAATCGTGGGATTTTTGGAGGAAAGCGTGGGAGAAGGCAACAAGGTCTTAGATTATATATAATTTTAAAAAATTCTGCACTTTGATACTGGAGGCGAAGTACACTAATCCAAAAGTTATCTTTCTTTTGAGAAGAAAGAAGAGGTGGATTCTTTTTTCCTTTTGATTCCAACCTTTTCTCCCTGTGACAAAGCATAAATTCATGGACACGAAAAAATAAGGTGGATCTCAGGAATCCTGAAAAGACTGAGTAGCTCACATTCTTCCTCAGGAGGAAGGGTGGGGTGTTTTTAGCCCTCTCTGGAACCTAAAACGAAAAACATGAGTTGCGTGCCATGGAAAGGAGACAAGGCCAAATCTGAATCATTGGAGCTGCCCCAGGCAGCACCGGCACAAATCTACCATGAGAAACAGCGCAGGGAGCTTTGTGCTCTTCATGCCCTCAATAACGTCTTCCAAGACAGCAATGCCTTCACGCGAGAAACATTGCAAGAGATTTTCCAGAGGTAGGGTACCCCCTCTCCTTGGCATCTTTCTACTTTTGCTATTTCTGAATTTCTGTGGGCGGGGCATTGTCTCAGCTACATAAACCTTCAAACCAACAGGTACTGTTGGCTGGATGCTGTTAGCAGGCATAAAGGAAACAAGATTGGGAAAGATAACCACTACCATTTATTGATCACTTATATGGGCCAGGCACAGTGCTAAGAAGAGCCTTGATTGTATCATCTCAAGTGATCCCTACAACAGTGCTGTAAATACATATGTCATTTCCATTTTATGGATAAAGATAGGGTTCAGAGAAGTTGAGTAACATAAAAGATGGAGCCATGAATTCAGGTTTGTGTCTGTGCTGTTTGTTGACCACTGTGCTGTGCCTGTCAGGACCTGCCCACAAGAAGTTTAGTATTGAAGGGGGACAAGTACACACTCAGATAATGGCACCCACCTATGTTCCCCAAGAAAGGTACTGCAGCTTTTCTATGAGGCCCTGTGCTGGCCTTGGTACTAATACATTGTTTTGTGTAACCTTCACAACAGTCAGTTCTACTGTCTCCATATTACTGATAGAGAAAATAGGCAGAAAGGTCAGGTAATTTGTCCAAATAGCTTCTAAGTAGCAAAGCTACGTTTTTGAAGCTGACTCTTTCTACTTCATTCCAGATGGCCTTTCTTATCCACTTTGTGAGATGCTGTGTGACAGGTTGATAAAAGTTCAGCATTTATCTTTCTACTTTGATCTTCCAAAATTGTTTTTCAGAGGGTTTGAGATTTAGTTCTGTAGTGTCTGGATGGACACAGCAGTATGTCTGCAGTCTATAGGAACTTTGGCAAGGATTTGTCTCATTTTCCCAGCTAGAAAGGGTTAGTCCTGCTTGGTTCTCAGTGCAGAGAAAAATTCACCAGTTCTTCAAACAGTGCATATTACTAGTTGGAAAAAGACCCTTTACTGACTCCCTTTACTGGGAGGTGAAGTTAATGTCCCTAAATTACAGCTGGAAATTACCTGTTTGGGGTGATATGTGAAACATAGGAATGGACTGTTTACCCTGAAAGAACCGTAGGCCCAAAAGAATGTTAATCCTAGTGTGCTGACAAAATTATAATGAGGGCAATTATTTTCCAATGCTGGTAATAACCATAGTAATGTCTTACCAGGGCAAATGTGTCATGTGCATCATGGTCATTTTCTGGCAAGTAGAAGTAATTCTCTTCAGGAAATGGGACTTTGGGAGATGAGGTAATTTGTCTCAGATCACCAAGCCCTGTAACTGAAAGGAGTAGGAAGGAGACCAGTGCATTAGACTGTTTCCTTTTGGCCAGCCATTTGTAATTTCTTCTATGCCTAATTGGATATTTGAGCAGTAATTCCTAATCTAAGAATAGGGAAAAGAATGGATTCACAGTGAGTACGTAAATGTGCTTAGTACTTTATAATATGTCACAATCTTGTGACAATCTTAGCAGTAGTAGTCTTAAGAAACAACGATTCCGTTTAAGCAGTTTGACCAATTCCACTCACTAGTTAATGGAAGAATGAAGATTCTGTGTGTCTACTAAGTTTTTTTTCACTTCTGTAAATTTGACCTCTGCTCTGACCTGATGACAGTCACTAACACATAAACACTCACTCTGTGCAAAGCACTGTTCTGAGTGCTTTCCTTGTATTAACTCACTTCTCACACCAATCTTAATAAGGTAGATTCTGTTACATCCCATTTTTCCAGATGAGGAAATAATGACATAGAGTCCACCGAGCTATTAATGTATTAATGGCAGGATTTGGACACTAGCTCTGTGACTCCAGGACCTGCCCCCCTAAACTGCTCTGCTGCTTCCTGTAGAAAGGCACATCAGAGCAATTGTATCATCAGTAGCCATTCACCCTGCTAGTAACCTCGACTTGGGTCTGAAGATGTGTACTATGATTATAAGCTGTTTGTGGATAATAGCAGGACTCACTCAGCTGTGTTTTCTCTGAATGAAAGAATGCTAAATACTTGCTAAACACTCACATGAAACCAGAGTTCTATTTTAAAGCTTCAGCACGTTGTACTGCACTCCTCAGTTCCCTATCAGCACAATGTAAAGACACTTTGAAGTAATAGCAAACCAGTACACAAAATATACTTGTCCCCACTCCAGAGGTGGAATTCTCTATAGAGTATTTGTATGGAAAGGTTCTGTGTGGATAAATAGAAACAAGAACTGTGAAAGGAATTGAGAAAAGGCAAAGGGACAGAAAAAAAGGCAAGGGAGAGATGGAATTTTTTAAACAAACATTTACTAGCTGCCTGCAGTGTGCCAGGCACTGTAAAGAAAACAGGTTGGACAGGACTCAGTCACTGAGAAGTGTATCTCAGAGCTATACATTGACCAGGCCTTGGGAACAGATTTAAGTGACGTTAGAACCATGGAATTCAGAGCAATCTAAATGAGAAAAATGATTTCTTTGAATTGTAACAGAAAGAACAGTAATGTTGGCAGAATTAAAGAGATAATTCAAAATTCTCAAAGTTTTCTGCTGTTCTGAAGATGTGGCTAATCAGTGGTAGAAATGGGAGGAAAATTTTGATTGAATGCCATCTGTTGAGAGGAGATTCATCCTAGTAGTTGAATTTTAGCCTTTAAAAAAAAAAAAGAAATACAAAGGCAGGGTGGAGTTTCAGTACAGCTGTGGATATAAGATGACTCATGTTTGGAATAGAAATGAATAGGAACTTACAACTAAGCAAGTGACTTGGTAGCAACACTGGATGGGAAAAGAGGAGTCTGGTGTGAAAGGCTTGGTCCAAGATTTGAGGACAGTGGTAACATCCATGGTGATAGCAAAAAGAGGTCATTGACTTGAAAAGAAAATGTTTTCAACATATGGAATTGGAGGAAAGATCAGAAACTGGGCAGGTATCAACAGTGTGCATGTATATAGATGTGGATATTTGATCTCATACATTTTATATATGTATGCTTTGAAAAAGGACTTACAGGTAAAATCCATAGTAGCAGCTTGGCTACGTAGTTATGAACATCCTCAGGCCTCAAACATTTTCACTAGGCTCATCTCGGTTTTTCAGTGATCAAATGTTCTTAAAGCTAGGTATGAGTTACTTTCCCAAATAAAATGGCTATTAAAATCTAAGACAAAAACCAGCTTGGTACCAGGGAAAAACCTAATGCAAGATGGAACGGCAAAGAGATTATAGGTGCTGGTGAACAATCACCACTCTAGGACTGAGGGGAAGCCCTTCCCCCTCCCCACTAAAAGGTCCCTGAGCCAATAGAAGGAGCCATATTTAAAGGTATGGGGGTTGTAAGTTGAGAAAAGGTATTGAGAGTGTTAACTTCCTGGAGATTTAATTATCTTGTCCAGTGGCCAGGCAGTCATCACCAAATGATCGTCCTTGTCCCAGCCAACACCTATAGAGTACGACGTCTATGTGCCTGGCCCTGTGATCTGTGCTTTATGAATTTAATAATATAAAGACACATAAGAAAGTTCTGAGCCATGTTTGTTAATGTCACATCTCTTCATACCTGATAAAAGGGAAATAATAATTAAGGGAGAAAAGGAATCTTGACAAATGGCTGTACATCTCCTTGTCATTAAAATCTGAAATCGTCACTGTAGCCAGACACGTGGTAACCACGAGAGAGGACCAGGGCCTCAGCTGAGGGTACAGACCTATATGAGACCTGGACTAGAGCTCATCTCCTCACTTGCAAATCGCTTCAAATCTCATGGCTCTAATCTCTGATTGTGACGACTGAAAGCGAGAGGCTTGCTTTATAGTCCAGAATTTCTATCAAAATCATTAAGGTAGTCCTGAACAGGAGTTTGCCAAAGAGTCTGAAGAAAATCCATTGGAACAGAACAGGACTCCCTGGAAATCACTGGGACTGGTGTGTTGAAATATACGCGAGACTGTTCAGTGCAGCCTTAATGTAGAGGCTAAGTCCTAGCTCTACCACTCACCAGCTGGATATGACTGTGCAAGTCACTGTAACTAACCTCTGCACCTCAGCTTCCTTATTTACATTATCGGGTTAATCTCAAGATTGTTAGAAGGTGTAAGTGATAAAGCTTATAAAAGTAGTTAATATATTGCAGGCACTAACAAGTACTAGTAATATGGGCGCACTGGTTGGACCCCACTTGTTCAAATAGCCATTTTCAGCATTTCCTATATTGATCAGTTTGGCCAACACATTTATTCAGTTTATTCAGTTGCCCAGTGCCTAGCTGTGAGGAATGCAGAGTAGAAGAACCATTCCCTTTGCTTTGGAATTTACTGTTTGTATAAAATAACTGAATTCTTCATTGAACATCCTCAGGCCTCAAACATTTTCACTAGGCTCATCTCGGTTTTTCAGTGATCAAATGTTCTTAAAGCTAGGTATGAGTTACTTTCCCAAATAAAATGGCTATTAAAATCTAAGACAAAAACCAGCTTGGTACCAGGGAAAAACCTAATGCA